GTTCCTACGACTTATTAATTTGTGGCCACTGTCCATGTTTCATTAATTTTGTTCCTTAAATAACCCATGATTTAAATAAAATGAGGGAACAAATTAATAAATCGAACAAATTCTTAATTAATGGCCATGAAATCTTTCATTTCCCTTAGATGCGAAAACAGTGATAAAAAAGTGAATGACAATAAAATAAACCTGCGAAATTAGAGGGTTAGACGGTGAGGATTTAGGATAACGCTCCCTCAAAACTTGCGACATCTGTGGCATTGTGCTGTGTGATAAAACTGCACATTTTAGAGTGGCCTTTTATTGTGGCCAGCCTAAGGCACACCTGTGCAATAATCATGTTGTCTAATCAGCATCTTGATATGCCACACCTGTGAGGTGGATGGATTATCTCGGCAAAGGAGAAGTGCTCACTAACACAGATTTAGACAGATTTGTGAACAATATTTGAGAGAAATAGGCCTTTTGTGTACATAGAAAAAGTCTTAGATCTTTGAGTTCAGCTCATGAAAAATGGGGGCAAAAACAAAAGTGTTGCGTTTATAATTTTGTTCAGTATATATATGACACAAGATAGTTATAGAAGTTCACAGAACTGACTCCGCAACAGCTGAGTAAAACTGTTTCATCTGAGCATGTGGCACTTTAAGCATTATCGTATCGCATATCGAATATCACATTATTTAATGAGTTATCGCATATCGCATTTTTCTTCAATGTCGCACAGCCCTAATACCCACCAAGATAGACTTTTTGATCCATGATTGTGTTACTTTACTGTTATGAAGTCTGTAATCAGAATTACCAGAAAGATTATCATTTTTTTTTGTTAATCTAAAATCTAAAGTGTTATCACCTTTGAAATCCCTACTCTATAGTCAGCAACATATTTTCCTTTCTCAGTGCTGTATAACTTGTTTCCCTTTAAGGAAACAAAGGGCCACTCTCCATGAATAGAACGCATTGACTTAGGCCTGAGCTATTGGACCTTTGACCTCTTTGAATAGGGTCAGGGTCATAGTTTCCCAGGTCACTGGAGAAATTAACCAGCCTCTCTCAAATTACAGCACAAGAACAGAACATTTTAACCCAGTAACCCAAGCTAGAAGTGGTGGTGCAGTTACACTTACTCTTTAATTGCCTTCTGCGCTTTTTGATTGTGTTCGCTGTCCCTCAAGCTCACACATCCATTTCTGATGAGCCGTCTGTCCACTTAATTTTGTTTAAAAATACATGCGGAGGGTGAAACTGCAGATTCTGCAGGCAGCAGTTGTCTGCTTGTTTGTGCTCGTAAACTAAATGAATAATGTCATGCTGTGTAAGTGACATGGTTTAAATGCTGTGTTCAGATGCACTGCCTGTTGCACTCACTCACTTTGACTGCAAAGTGCACAGTCAAGGTAGGCTTTCATTGAAATGAACAGCTCTCTATATTACTATATAAGGTCTTATGGGGGATTTATTGCTGTCTCAGAGCACACCCTGGTCCCTGCCCTTGCCTTTTTGATTTGGCAGGTTCCTGCAGCTCAAGGAGCTTGACATTTAGCCAAAGTAATGCCATGTCAGAATGTACCTGACACTGTCAGCTATATCCTGCTAGATTAGACAGGCCAGGAGCTGCCTGACAGATGCAGAGCTCATTCACACCAGCACAGCATGATGTTCAACCCAACCTTTATTTTACCTGCAGAATAGGCCTGGCTCTCAGGAAGTGGTCATGTGAATCATGGTACAGCAGCTTATTTCTTGTTCCATCCAGTGAT